TAGTAACATAGGATATGCCAAACTACAGCATGATAAGCATTTTCTCCAAACAGTGTAATCCACATTTCAGTTTGAATACATGAGTAAACATACTTTTATAGCTTTCTTGAGACAGTTTATATGCTATAAAAATTAGTGTACATCCTCCTTTAGAAAATAGTGTAATGTGTACAGTTTAGTGGGTTTTGGTTCTCACAGAATTGTGTAACCGTCTCCCTAATTTAACTTCAGGACATTTTTAACACCCTCCAGAAATATCCTGTATATATCTACAATCAGTTTTCATTTCCCCCAATTTTCACCGTTGCCACAGACCACAGACAGCCATTAATTACCTTTCACCTGTATGATTTGCTAATTCTAGATACTTCATATAAATGAAATTATACAATCTGTAATCTTTGGTGACTGGCTTCTTTTATTTAACATGTTTTAGCTACCTTGTAGCATATATTATTTTTATGGCCAAATATTCCATTATAGGAATATACCACATTTATCCATGAGTTTGTGGGTGTTTGGGTTGTTTCTCCTTTTTGGCTATCATAAGCAAAGCTATGGTAAACATTTATGTACAAGTTTTTGTGCAGCCATATGTTTTCACTTCCCTTGGTATATATACCTAGAGGTATATTATTTGATCATATGGTAAGTCTGTGTTTAACCATTTGACGAACTGACTTATCAAAGTGCTGGCAGCATTTTACCAGCAAAGTGTGAGGGTTCCAGTTTGCATTCCTAGTGAACACTAGTTTTGGTCTGTCTTTGATTTTCATCAACCTAGAAGGCAATATGTTTAGAGAAAAATTTTTTTAGACTTTTTAAGTATCTATAGGTATGAATTAGACAGATTTTAACTAAAAATAGAAACACCAGAGCTACTCATCTAATGTGCTATAGATACATTTTCATCCCTTATGGTATGTATCATGGCTGGTCATGTGCTGTGGATGTCCAGGTTCACAGAATCTCAGGCTTGGAAGAGACCACAGGAGGCGTGTGGTGCTATCCACTCCCATCACATCCACACTTCTGCTGCATCTGTGCCAGAGAACCCACCTGCTTCTGCTTCAACAGCTCTACTGCTCCTTTGTTCCAGTGGCAGCCCATTCCATTTGCTTTGGGCTCCTGTTATCAAAGGTGTTCACACAAAAAGATCCACAATCTACTTACATCGGAATCCCTGGCTCTGTTCCCAGAAGTATACTCTGAAGGCAAAGGAGATCTAGTCTCCCTATGAGGCCCCTGAGGTATTTTATTTAAGGTTGTCCCTTTGAATCATTTCTCACAGATCGTGGTTTCTATCTCCCTTTCCAAATTTGACAGCTGTCTTTGGTCTAAGTTTGTTGACATCTCATTTTAAACATGTCCCTTCAAACTAAGCATATTATGCACTTCAGATGGGAGGAGGGTGTTGACTGAGCCACCTGGAAACTAGGGCATTTCTCTGACCTAACATGCATAGTCCCTACTTACTATGAAACTTAAAACTTGATTGCCATACCTTTCTCTGTAAATATTTGAACTGGTGATATAGTCATATAATACAAAAATTTTTTTATAAGCAAGTCCTCCCTACTTGTGTTCCGCAGGCATCAGTTCTCCTTCCCAGAGGCAGTGTTACCTGTTTCTTACATAATAGAGTTGTGCAGTCATCACCACTATCCAGTTTTAGAACATATCTTTCACCCCAGAAAAGTCCCTGTGCCCACTGTCAGTCATTCCTCGTTCCCAGGCCCAGGCAACTACAAACTTGCCTCTTTGGGACTTTTCATATGAAAGATTCATACAATAGGTTGTCTTTTACATCTAGCTTATTTTAAATAATGTTTTCAAGGTTCATTCATCTTGTAATACATACCAATTCATTCTTATTGCAGAATAGTATTCTGTTGTGTGGATCTGTTTTCTATCATGCTTTTGGTGTTGTATCTGTTTTTGTTTTTCACCTAGCCAGTCACAAAGATTTTCTTCTATATTTTAAAAGTTTTTTAGTTTTAGTTATTAATCAAGTGTGTGACTTTTTTTGTTTTAGTTTTTGTTGTTTTTTTGCGGTACCGGGAATTGAACTCATGACCTTGTGCTTGCCAGGCAAGCGCTGTGCTGCTGAGCTGAATCCCCAGCCCCTAAGTGTGTGACTCTTGAGTTAATTTTTGTGTATTGGTGGGATATCTATAATCTCTGTGCAGAGAGAGCCAGTTGTCCCAGCATCATTTAGATATCTGTCATATCCTTCAGTGAGTTACCTTTGGTCCTTTGTTAAAAATCATTTCACCATAAACTAAGTTTATTCTGAGACTCTCATTTCTGTTCCATTGATATATCTATGTCTATTTTTACACCAATATTACAATGTTGTGATTACTGTTGCTTTATAGTAAGTTTTGAAATCAGGAAACATTTAGTGCATCTTTATTCCGTTGTGATCCTTTGTATTTCCATATAACTTTGAGGTCAGCTTATAATTTTCTTTAAAAAAAGCTTGCTAGGATTTTGATAAGAGATTGTGCCCAATGTATAGGTTAATTTGGGAGAAATTGCCATCCTAACAATTTTGACTCTTACAATCCATGTATGTGGAATGTCTCACCATTTATTTAGATAATATTTTCATCCCAGCAATGTTTGTAATTCTCAGTGTGCAGACTTGGCATGTCTGTTCTTAACTTTTATTCCTAAATGTTTCATTCTTTATGCTTTTGGGAATGGAACTGTTTCCTTTATTTTTAGATTGTTCATTACTAGAATATAGAGATATCAGTGACTTGTTTTTAAGTCACACTGATCTTCTTTCTACAACCTGACCAAATTATTTATTTTGTACTTCATTGTGGATTACTTCGTATTTTTAAATGTAAGATCATGTCATTGGCAAGTAAAGAGTTTTACTTCTTCCTTTCCAATGTGAGTTTTCTTTTCAAATATTTTATATACACATTAAAAAAAAACCTACATAAGTTGTCTACTCTTTTTCATAAAAAGATCAGCACACTTTACTATACTCAAATATCTATCTTCAAAGTCGGTCTGTTTTAGTACCTAACATTCTGTTTGTTTTTTACAGCTGCAGAGAAGGTATAAGTATAGTGTGCTATCCATTAATCGTATCTTTATTGTCCTTTCTGTACTTGATTTTTAACATGGCAGTCTCATAGGTTTTTACAGTTTACCATCTAAATCATTTGTTCTAACATAATTTTGGAGATCAAGATTTTCTTCCGTTTTCTAGTTGGGAAAACTGTCTCAAGTTGTGGCTTGAGAGTCAACTGCTAAAGGGAAGATCTGAGACTAGCTCAGATCCTTGAATCCCAGACCTAGAGCTTTTTGCCTGCATCAAAGTTACCATTCCTGCCCCATAACATGCAGACGTTTACAGTTGTCTCAACTAAACATCTTTTTGTTTACTCCTGATTCTTACTATTATTTGGGATCTTCATAGCCATTCAGACACACCCCTATGTACATTATATAGAAAGTCTCCCTCTCCTCACTTATTCCAATACTGATACATAAAATACTAAGAAAAAGCTAGGACCAAGCCCAGTGACTGGAATACAGTAGTTGCGTAGTTAGCATTTGTTGTCAAGTACAAGATGTACTACTTAGTAACAGGCTTTGTATTGACAGTAATATTTGGACAAGGCCAATTTAGTTATCGTTTTACCAATTTCTGGTAAAACAAGTCATAAAAGTCCATCTTTCAAACATGCCATGAGATGTTTCCTGATTTTGTTCAAATCTAGCTGTGTGGACTACACATTCTTTTAGTCTGCCAGTCAATATTTTGTTCAGAATATTTTCTGAACAAATATTCCAAGTACCACGAAGTAAACTTACCACAGAATCATGGTAGGCCTTTAGAAACTGGAAATACTCTGATTTTTAAAAAGATTAGCATTGTAAACTGCTGGATGTGACACTGGTGACTTGTAAAATTTAGAGCTGATCACTAATCTGATAATTTGCAAGCATTTCAAAGTCAAAAAAAGGGAACAAAATCTTCATCTCCAAAATTATATGTTAGAACAAATGCTTTAGATGGTAAACTGTAAAAAACTGTGAGACTACTTTCCTAGTGACCATATCTACTAGGAAAACTAGGGTAGCGTGGTAGGGTTATTATGCCTGCCTTCCAGATTTCTGGCTGGAATTTGGTACTTGGAGTATTTGTTCAGAAAAGCAGACACTGTTCTCTCTTGTTACTTGGGCTTCAATTCACTTCTGCCAAATTTGCTTAAGTAAAAAAAAAGTCACTTGGCACTTACAATATAGATACCCAGCCCTTCCCCAAGAGATTATAATTCATTGTTCTGGGTTATTCCCCTCCCACAATATTTTTATAGTGAGCAAATTTAAGAAAGACTGTTGTATGCTGTATTTGTTCAACTTTAATAGTCTTTTCCTTAACCACCAACATTCTGCCATCAGCTTCAGTCCCTTAACTTACCCTTCATTGTTCTGCTTTTCCTGCACGGAACTAAAAAGGCCTCTGGACTCTTTCATGCTTAAAAAAAAAAAAGACTCCACTCAGTCAGGACTTCCCTTGGGACCTTGCTGCTTTTGGTGTTGGCATAAGTGCCTGAATCTACTCTAATTGGAGAGCACTCTTTGCAGCTCATCACTTTCTTTAGCTGTTTCCAGACCTCTTATCTTGCACCAAAATTATGTGCAGGTGTCATTTGAGAATTTTATTCTGTAAATGCATCAGGTTAAGGTTTGGCATCTTCAGAGTTTGGTTAAGCCCTGGGAAAATGCATGGCTTAGCCCCTTTCTGTCTTACATAAGTCTTGGCAGCTTGGGCCCTGTTGAACTATAGCAGCATTCTGTTCCCTTTCATGGATATGTGACAGCACGTTAACATGGTTCGCAGCATTTTTCCAACTGCATCTCAATTTTAATTAGACTAGAAAGAATTGTTGAGGACTTGAAGTCTTTTTTATACTGTGTGTAACTTTGCCATTGACTATAGGTAGCTAAAATAGAATCTCTTGTTTTTCCAGGTGGCACATCATATTTCTTCTGACTCTATGTCATCTGCCAGTAGCTTTTTGAGTTTAAACTCTACACTTTGCAATGAAAAAAATGGGCCCATGTTAAATAAGGGCGTGCAGGCAGGTAAGTCACTTGAAGTTAAGCTTTTCCAGTGAAATAAAACTGTGAATTCTTAAACGTGTTACTCAATTTCATTCATAACAAAAAAGGTGAAGATTAACACTACTTGTAAATTTAAATGCCACTTTTCACCTATAAATTGACAAAAATCCAAGTTTACGAGTAAGAGTGTATGAAAATAAGTACCCTCAAACATTCTAGTGGGTGTATAAATTGGTACAACCCTTGTGAAAGGCAGTTTGGCTGTTTCTACCAAAACTAATTTGACCTGGTGTTTTTACTTTTAAAAATTTAACCTATAGATATACTTGGAAATGTGCAAATGGCAAGTATACAAAATTAAATAGCAGAAAGTTAAAATCACCTTAGATATCCCTCAGCAATTAAATAGTCAAAAAACTGAGGAGGAAAAGCTGTTTATCGATTTTTGTGGGGACAAAAAAGGGCAGCATGTCTTTGAAGAATTAAAAAGTTTTACGTGCTTATTGGAATGAACTTGTCAGCTAAGCCTCAAGGATACTCCCAGAGACATCTGTGACCTTCCCCCTCAGGTAATTTGGAGATTGTGACTGGTGCCAAAAAGCACACTCGTGATGTTGGAGTGACTTTCCCAACTCCTAGTTCCAGCGAGGCTAGATTAGAAGAGGACAGCGATGTAACTTGGTCAGAAGAAAAACCTGAAGAGAAAAAGCTGTTTACCGATTATCGTGGGGACAAAAAGTTAAGGAAGAACAAACCAATTTCCTATGAAGGTCAGTTTCTAATTCCAGGTTTTATAGCAGAAAATAGTGAATGAAGTCTTTGGCAGTGCTAAAATTCTTTATTTCTAAGTGAGTAAGTATCTAGAACTACATTACAGAGTCATACCTGCAGTTAAAACAGACTCGAGGATACGGTGGGGTCCACTCAGAGCTAAGCCTCCTGTAAGTCTATATTATACATGTCTTTGATGAGACCTGGATGGAACTATAACAATGATAAAACGTTTTTTCTCCTTAAAAATATTTCCTATAGGAGTTTCTTGGTTTGTTCCTGTGGAAAATGTGAAATCTGGATCTAAGAAGGAAAACTTGCCCAAGAATTATGGCCCGGGCATCTCCTGGTTTGAACCAGTAACCAGAACTAAACCCTGGAGGGAGCCACTACGGGAAAAGAACTGGCAGGGACAGCGCATGGGTGGTCAGGGACCAGTGGCTGACCAAGGTGGAGAGGATGGCCAGGGCCCACCGAGGCCATTTGTGAAAGCAACCCTACAGGTATAGTGGCATCAGGTTAACTTTAGCCGTATATTTAGGTGGGAAAGGGCAAGACAGGAAGAACTATCTGTGACTTGGCATGCTAAGGTTTAGTCGTGACTGACCCTCTTTTTTTAGCAGCTCCGCAGTTCCTCTGTGTCACTACATAAGGACTTGGTTTCTCATCATTAATTAAAAGCTGCCTTGTTCTTAACTTTCTAAATAATGTGCCACCCTCAGGATCTGGGGACAAGGTAACAAGGGAGGATGTTGTGTGGCAAGCTTTTAGATACTCACCGTGGCATTTCCAGAGGCCTGGGGTTTGTGTGAACATTTTATGTCCACCATTGAGGTAATGTCAATTCCTTCTTATTGCAGGATTCAATAGGCACCTTCTTAGCACAGGATTCAAAAAGCATTGTTCTCTCTCTTTTTTTTCCAGTGCTAGGCATTGAACCCAAGGCTTTGCACATGCTAGGCAAGCCCTCCAGCACTGAGTATCTCCCCAACCCTCACCAACCATCTCTAGCCCTCATTTCCAGCCTTAGAGGTTAAAGGAAATGTTATTTAATGAGATATTTGTCTGAAGAGAAGTTTAAAATGCCACAGTGGCTGAGCTCTGTCCTATCAACATTCTGGAGAGTTGTAACTGCCATCGTTCCTTCTTGGCTTCTTCAGAGGCGTTCCTTTGATTGCTGCTGGAGCTCCCCTCAGCAGAGAAGTATCACAGTAGCCCTTAACTAAAGATATTTTCTGAGCACTAGAAATTGGTTCTCCAAACCTACTGGGTAGATACTATTTTTCTGGGCACTTAGATAGCAACTTGCATCATTAATATAGGTTGGGCTTTTTCCTCCTTAGGAATCACTTCAACTTCACAGACCTGACTTTATCTCTAGCTCTGGGGAGCGGATAAAGCGCCTGAAGTTAATAGTCCAGGAGAGGAAGCTGCAGAACATGTTACAGAGTGAACGGGATGTGCTGTTCAACACTGTGCATCCCCTGCCCAGGAGAGGTACACCCTTTTGTAGCTTTCCTGTTAGTCTCTAGAAAAGGCAAGATAACTGCTCTGTTGGTAACTGTTAAATACTATGAAAACTGAATGTGATTTTGTGCTTACTGAGGCTCAGATCTTAAGCTAACAGAAACAGTACAACTTTAAACACTTTCATGGTGGGGCTGGGGATTTAGCTCAGCGGCAAAGTGCCTGCCTGGCAAGTGCAAAGTCGTGAGTTCGGTTCCCGGTACCGGAGAAAAACCAAAAAAAAAAAAAAAAAAAAAAAAAAACCACAAAAAAAACCACTTTCATGGTACAGGTAATTTAATATTCTAATCTGATGGCTGCATCTTAAAAAGGAGATGTACAGTGATAATGGGATTTTTTTTTTAAACCAGCGCTCGCTCAGTATCCATGAGCAAGTTGGTTACAAAAGTTATAAGATGGAGCCAGTTTTGGCTTTCCTGCTTCATAGGGTGGTATTAATAACAACAACAGTAATAAACGCATAGCTCTTACATCTTGTCCATATACTGTTCTCACAACACCTCTCTTAAAGTCAGTACTGTTGATATCCTATTTCACAGTGGGAAAATTGAAGCAGAGAGAGATTAAATGCTCTGCCCTAGGTTACAGCCTCTCAACTAAAAGAGCTAAGATGTAAATCCAAGTAGACTGGCTCCAGAGTCTGTGTACTTAATAATTACACTGAGCCTAAGATCTCAATAAAATAATTTGTGAAAGCTGTGAAAACTATAAAGTACTACCTAATGCTGTCATCACATCCTTACCAATAAACCAGTGTTTTGGTATAACTGTTCTGTGCCACAGAATATTGTCTTCAGGTGGTTGTCATGGTCACGCTAGTCCAATGATAGCAAACCTTTTAGAGTTTTCAGTGATACAAACAGCCCGCATGGCATGCGTGCCATAGGTTCACCACCACTGATGTAATGTAATCCTGGCTTTGGCTTTGGTCTTAGTCATTGGTTATTGCTTACCAACCTGTACAGCCAGCTCAGGTTAGGGGCACAAATTCAAGCTGCTCTTCTTATACCTCTAGAGTGCCACTTCTTTCTTTATTAAGTCACTGTCTACTGAAAACCACTTCTTTTCTTGCTTAGTCTACCTTGCTGCCCAGAAGAAGAAGCCTATTGGAAAGAAGGAGATGATTCAGAGGTCTAAACGGTAAGGCCATTGTGAAGGTATAAACTGGACTACCAGAAATTACCCGGGTTAAAAAAATCTCATCTTACACATGCAATTAGAAAGGAGAAAAATACTTTTCTCTTTTCCAGAAAGGTCAGAAACTCTGGCTTTACTCCAGAGTAAAGGCATAATACCTTGAAATATCATGAGAAAGTTAGTTGTGAAAGTGGCAGCAGATATGGTATGAATTATTAATGTATAAAGGATTAAAAGATCTGAACTAATTTGCATATATTAGTCAGGCTTGTCTTTATTCAAAACCTAGATATTAAAAATAGTTTGAAATAACATTAAATATTTATTTGAAGCCATGCCCTCTATCTTAGCAATCTTATTTGTAGCAATTTATCCAGTAGAGTGAGGAATAATGGGAGTGCTCTTTAACCATTAAGTTTTTAAAATCAAGTTTCAGGAGCATTCTTACAGTGCAGTCATTTGTGGTCTTTGAAAGAAGTAATTATGGTTATATAGATGTGTATATTTTTATATGCAGAGAATATCTCTAGAGGACAAAAAATCCTCTTATAATAGTGTTTGCCTTTGAGAAAAAGAACTGAGTGGCTGGAGAACCCTCAGATTAATTTTTCTCCTGTTTATATTTTTTGAATCTTGCACCGTTGCACATACTAGCTATTAATTAATTCATTTGAGATAGCATGTGTTGATCATGACCCTGCCATGGAAGACTTAAGTTAAGGGTTACATTTTTTAGTTCATTGGAGGCTTGCTTTAATAAGAATAGTTTTATAGTTGGCAGGGTGCTTCTGAAGTAATGGTTCTTAAAACAATTTACCTCCTGTAACTGAGGCTTCTCTCTTGAAATCTTGTTTTCTACTGCCTTTTCCATGGAGCATAACTGCTACTTGATAAGAGTAACTGACAGATCAACTGATTATTGTGACTCAGGTATATGACAGATATTTTCTTGAAAATGAAAATTGAGTCACTTCAGAGAAAATAGCTGACAGTATTTATTCTCTGTCACTTCAGAAAAAACAGCTGACAGTATTTGTTCCCAAAGAGAAAATTTGACCTTTGAACAAAGGAAGGAATTCTAGAGAACCTATCTTCACCACCATTAGCTTGAAAACTTTCTAGTATTTAGGCTTTTCTGACAAGATCAACAGTGATATTAACAAATGTGATGTTTTTCATGTAATGTAAGTAAATTTATCAACATTTGGGAGATTTGCATAACTCTCTGGAGCAGGATTTTCCAAATGATGTTATAAACTCAGGCATGGATAAATGCCCCATTTAAAATGAAGATAGACTGATGAATTTTTATCTGACAGTATAAAAAAGTTACTAATCTGATTTCAGATTGTACTTGCAGGTAATTTTTAAGAAACTACCACTTGTCAAGTTTTCATGTATTAAAGAAGATCAGCAGTTATCTAAAAAGAATGTTAAAATATTTTTCTCTTTTCCAATTGCATGTGTAAGATGAGGTTTTTTTAACCTGGGTTATTTCTGACAACAAACTTAATACAGAAGCAGTTACGAGTCTAGCTCTCTTCTCTTAAACCAGACATTAGGTTTGCAAAAAATATACAACTTTGCCAGTCTTCTAAAATTTTTTGTTTTTCTTAAAAAAAAATAGATTACTTGTGTTAACGTGTTCACAGGCTTATGATTATTTTTTCAGCTTATCATTATTTCTAAGTGAATGAATAAATAAGTTTTGTTTTGTCTTGATTTAGTTTAGTTTTGTGGTGCTGGGCTTTGTACATAATAGGCAAGCACTCTACCACTGAGCCACCTACCCAGCGCCTAAGAACTAAGTATTTAAATTTTATTTAACTTGTAATATGGTATCAATAGATAAAATCCACATTGGGAGTTCACAGTTTTTAGAGATGTAAAGGAATCCTAAGCCCATATAATTTGAGAACCATTGCTTTATTTTAATTCTGTCATAAAATTTAATTAAGAGAGAAATTGTACAGCATTCCTTGTGTGGCAGCTCATTACACTGTCACTTTAGCAACAGAAGTCCTTGTTGTAGGGCACTATGAGGCTTACCTACAGGAAGACAGGCAGGGCATCTTCTGTAAGAAATTGATGTTTAATCATAAATATACTTGTAGGAGAAGGATAAGTTCACATCTACTGGGTGGAGACTCCAAGTTTTAAACATTTTTTATTATTCACTCTATTCTATAACCTACTTAACTATTCTTTTGTTGGAAATGTAATTATTTCCAATCAGAAATGTTTGTCACACACACATTTGGTTGTGCTTCTTCCAGCTTCAAATCAGTGACATCCAATGCCAGATAGAACTGAACCTCATTTTTCGTTTGACCTAAGATCCTCTACAACCCAACTCACTCTCATCCTACCTGCTTCCTACATGTCACCCTGCATTGTGGCTCAAGCAGTCCTGGCTTTATTCTTGCCAATACTCACTTTTTCCTGACATGTGCACCTTTTGTCTTACCGCCTTTTCTTTTTCTGCTCTTCAGGATCCAACTCAAACCTAATCTCATCTCTAAATTCTTTCCTGAACGCCTTCTATCAGAATAAGTTTTTTTCTCCTATAACTCTGCAGCATTTTGTAGATATAACTATTGTAATACTTTCGTTTCTCAATAATTTGTGTTTAAAAATACAGTAGTAATACCTGTTTGTTATCTTATATTGAAAGAATGCATTTTCCTGTATTGAGGAGAAAACAGAAATTTACCCTTACCCCCTTTGTCCCAGAAGTATCCACTATTAGCAAGATTTTATTGTATTTCTGCTTAGTTATCTCTTCCAGATTGTGAGCGCTCTAGGTTGGGGTTCTTTATGTCCAGGTGTCTGACAGCAAGCTGGGCACATTATATAGGCTGGGCCTGTCTGAAAGAGTGAATGTCTGTAGAGCTTAGGGAGGTATGGTGAGAAGAAATCGTTTACCTCTGTGCCTTGTGACTTCATGGCTTTCTGTCTTCCCACTGGTACCATTTCTAAGGATTTATGAACAGCTTCCAGAAGTACGGAAAAAAAGAGAAGAGGAGAAAAGAAGATCAGAATACAAGTCCTACCGGCTGCGCGCTCAGCTGTATAAAACGGTCAGTGGAGTTAGTACTATATCTAGAGCAGGATGGATTGGGTTTATCAGTGGGAGAGAAATGGAGAGAAAAAGTCAGTCTGATCTGTTTGGGCCTTCACTCAGAATGACCCAAGTTTGAGAAGTGGAGTGAACTGAAACTCAAAATGCACAGTTCCAGTGCTAAAACTTCAAACTTAATGCACTTGTTAACAAGTTTCAAATCAGACTGAGTTTCTCTGCCTCAGTTGTGTATGGCACTTGCCATGCATTTGGAATGAAACCATATTCCCCACATAGGCAGCTTAGATACCATGATGGAAATTCTCAGAACATCAGAGTAGTCAGAGCCCCAAAGGATTTTATGCTCCTCATGGATAAGTCAGATACAGTGGAACAAATTTTGCAGCCAGGATTGTAGAAAGAATTAAGTTTGTGAACTGATTCCTCTAGGACTGCTAAAGTAAACTGGAAAATGTCTAAGTGTGGCTTAAGAGGCAGTGTGGCTTACTGGCACTGCGGGTCCAAGATCGTAGCCCCAGTGGATCAGTGGTGCTACAAATGCAGAAGCTCATAGGGTAAAGATCTTGCTACGAGTTAATTCCTGAGAAACCAGACTGCCTGCTGGGCACCAGACTGCCTGCTGTGTCCTTCATTGTTCTTGTTTCCCTCTCAGCCCCTCACTACACAGCAGAGGACTCTGAAGGTCAGAAACCCAGAGACCGGATCATATCAGATGGGGTTGGAGAACAGTCAGTGAAGTGCGCCCACAGCTCAGGCTGCCTTTCCAGGGGAAGGGCCCTGGCGCTGCCCAGTTTGTCTAGGGTGTCACTATGCTGCGCGTGGGCTGCGGACTAGTTAGTTTATTAGGATTATAGATTATCTGTATTTATGTGGAAATGATAAGTGTTGCTTACAGATCATCTTTCCTAAACTCCAGGAAATTTTTTCTTTCGTTCTTTTTTTTTTTTTTTTCTCTAATTGCTAGTTTCTGTAGCTAAGTAATGTGAATGAGATTTGAGTGTCTTCAGCAACACAGCTGGGGTGAGAAGTGGCTGTCTGCTTTTGATGGTGAAAGTACTTGACTTCTCTCTTGTCTTTCTTTTCTTCCACAGAAAGTGACCAATCAACTCCTGGGGAGAAAAGTGCCCTGGGACTGACACAAAATTATTTTCCTCAGAGCCTTGGAATTATATTTTTTGAACCTGGAAGAACGCAGTCCTTATTTTTATGCATCTGGTTTAATAAAGCTTACTCTTTGTCCTTGTGTATCTTAGCAATAGTAACTTCTAGAGTATGGAGCAAAGTGTTGGTCAGAATGACTGATAGTGTGGGAGTAATCATTTCTCCATAGAGGCCTTGCCTACAGGGTACGATAACAATATCTCTTAATTCTAGTCAAGAGTGACTCCCTTTTTGTATGTGTTTTTATACTTTTAGAAAAGAAATAACTTTGATTTACTCATAGTAAAGCAAGTAGTAGAGGATCATTTCCTTCCCATCTGGAGCAAGGAGCTGGGCAGTGTCTGCCGTGACATTTCTGAATACATTAGTGGAGGGAAATGGGCTCTTAGAAAGAAATGTGGTCTGTCTCTTTAGAAACACAGTGTCTTAGGTACTTTTTTTATTGCTGAAACAAAATACATGACACCCAAAGTTAAAGGAAGAAAGGTTCATTGCAGCTCACAGTTTATAGAGGTTTCATTTCATAATTGGTTAGTTCCAAAACTGGTGGCATGGCAGAGGGGCATCAGAGAGGAGAAACAGTTTGTGTCAGGCAGAAGACAGCAAAGAAGCAGCAAGCAAAGTAGAAGCAGCAGTGATAACAGCCGCCCTCTTTCTGTCCCTTATATTTTATCCAGGCCACACATGCTTAGAGTGACTAGCACTCACATTCAGGGAGGGCCTTGCCATTCTTCACAGCTAGAACTATGCCTGACCACCCAGTGGGCTACTTTAGTAATCACACACCCTTGATCCCAGCATCATAGACTTAATCCCAGGTCATACACTCGAGATCGAGCCACCTCTGAAAAGCGCCATCTATGACCACAAGAGGCTTTGGAGGGGATAAGTAGGCAAAAGCCATAATACACAGCATGGCCAGCATGGTACGTACTGTGTTACGGGCTCTGTGGGAAGTATGTGGTTATGATACCCACGAGATACACTGAGCCTCCTCCCAGCCTCTCTTCATCGCCCTATGGAGTAGCTTTGGCAGCTGGCCACCAGCCTTCTTCGGTAGGTTTTCTTTCACTCACCCTCTTGTTTATAGTATTGAAGACTCAAACTTATCATCATCACACATGAAACTAATCCTTATAATCTAGAGAGTGACTTTTGAAAAAGATGAGTTGATAAATGAGATAATGCACACAGAGCTCTTAACCCAGTGCCTGAATCAAAGTACAGGAGCTCCCCACCCCCTAGAATTACAGCCCCAAAGTTGAGAGGGAAGATGTAGAGCAAGCTCATTGTAAGTTCAGTGAGCCCTAGCAGCAAGGGCAGTCAGGGCCAGTGGCCTTCCCAAAAGTCTCCTGGAGGCCATATCAGAGAGCAGGTGCTGCCCCCAAACCACACAGAGATTTCAGGTCATGCCATCTAGGATCCCACTGAACCCTAAAAGAAGCCAAGAAGAAGCAGAGATGACCAAGTGAATTAACTACTTCGGGCTACCTATAAAATGAGAGGGCTGTTCTAAGCTCCAGGGTGCTGTGACTATTTACATGTTCCTTAGGAGGTTACTATTCATCATAGAAACACAAAGTATAGCTATCCCAAAACCTGGCTCTACAAAGAAATCCAGGAGGGTGGAGACATTAGGATTGATGAGCATGCTCCCCTTTAGGCCCAGGGCTGTGTCATCCAGATACCTTCCCAGAGTATTTACGGTCAGGGCCTAGGAAGCCCCAGGTGGCAGCTGGCAGCCAGCTCCTCCCAGCCAGCCCCAGCCAAAACATACTTTAAGAATGCTACTATACTATGAGTGTGCTGGGGAACCTGGTAACATCTCTTCTAGGATGTTTTAAACAGGAAACCCACAGGCTGGCTTGCACATTAAAGCAGTATTCTCACAGGCCACCACCCACATCAGAGTACAAAATGGGGTTTGAGGGTTGCTAAGAGTTCTTACATCTTCCTGCCTCCTGTTCGCAGAGACCTTTGACGGAATGCTGCCTGCAGAATCCAAGTATCTGCCTCAAAGACATTCCTTACTCCTCTTCCAGAATCTTTTCTGACCCCAAACCTCAGGATGGTTCCCGTACTCTACACACATCCTTTTGAGCTGTGCACCTGGCAGAAGCCATAAAGTCGCCACCTTATGCTGCCATTCCTATGGCCATCAGGCTACTCTACTCCCCCTCCACCTGCCACACACCCCTCTTGTACCAGGATTATGTTAGTCTGAAAATGCTCTGCCCAGGCCTGGCAGGACTTCATTTTTTTGTTCTTACACAGGTGCTGGAAGCCCAAGCCATGGCCAAACAGTGCTCTTGGTTCAGCATTAGGTGGGATTCACTCTTCAGCTGCTGCTTCCTAGACCTCTTTCATCCCTGACCTGAGAGTTCCTCCCCTTTTTCTCTGGAAGTGGGACTTGCAAATTGGAGCTCAGCCTGGGCAACTAGGGATTTAGCTCTTCTTCAGTCTCCCGAAGTGCTAATTCCAGGCAGCACCACCACACCTCGCTTCTTTAAGTTTCTTAGTCTGTTCTTGCCTACCTGAAGAAAAGACCTCCAGTGACCACAAGCACATGCAGTGTAGGCTGAGGGCATGTGTGGGGCAGGCAGTATTTTAACTATAAATCAGAACACATTGTGTGTGTGTGCTGGCCAGAAAATGATTGTTCTGGCCAGTTGTTAGAGAGTAAGGCCACGTTGAACTGTTAACATGGTCTATATCTTACCTGTTTGGAGCTGGGTGATTTTAACCTAGTTACTTCTATTTTTACCAGCTCTGAAATCTTATTTATAGCCCTTGCTCAGTTTCTCACTAAGTTCTGTGGGGCATTGGGCCCCCCACACAAGGAAAACCATATAGCTTTACAAGTGAAACTGATGTTTCTATGGTCTCTAGGGGGCGTGCTTGGCTTATCAACACAGACTCCCTGTTGCAGCCTCCCAAGATGAAAATCCTCATCTAAGGCAGTATCATGCCTAAGCAAAATGATTTTTCAAATCTGATCTGGCCACAGTTTAAGGGGATTACAGTCACAAGGCACACAGATGTGGGCTCTGATTTTCTTTCTTTTTGGTGTGTGAGGGCAGTACTGAGGAGTGAACCTAGGCAGTGGTGGCGAACCTATGGCATATGTGTTGTTGTACTTTTAGGACAAAAGATGTTAATGTATGAGTGGTTTTTCCTAAAAGGAAACCACTGTGCAGGTTCAATAGCTGTGTTGGCACTTTGCGATAAATTTAGTGGTTTTAGGTTGCAGTTTGGGTATTAGTTTTGGCATCACTGACCTAGGGCCTTCCCACTGAGCTCCAGCTCCAGCCCATTTCTATTTTTTTATTTAGACACAGAGTCTCCTTGAGTCTCCCTAAGCTGGGCTTGAACTTGACGTCCTCCTGCTTCAGTCTCCCAAAGTGCTGGGGTTACAGGCAACACCACCACACCTTGCTTCTTTTAATTTTCTTAGTCTCAACAGCCCCGGCCCTATCCACTCTTCTACCTTTCCGAGAGCCATTGCTGGTCCACAAATACTCAGTAGCCTGAGCCATGTCCTTTTTAGACACTAGGGTAAAATCTCTCCATATGATGTACACGTATTTTTCTGGCTCTAGACTTTTCCCTCCAGTGCTGGTAGCTTTACTTTGGTACTCACTTCGCCACCACTGCCTAGGTTCACTCCTCAGTACTGCCCTCACACACCAAAAAGAAAGAAAATCAGAGCCCACATCTGTGTGCCTTGTGACTGTAATCCCCTTAAACTGTGGCCAGATCAGATTTGAAAAATCATTTTGCTTAGGCATGATACTGCCTTAGTACAGTGGTGAGATCTAAGACTGCAGTGGACATAGAGAAATAGCTCTTTCCGTGGGTCAGTCCAACTTTCTGGGCTACTGCATGGGCGTTGGGGTACACAGTTGCAGCAAGTTCCAAAGGAGGCATGGCCAGATTTGCATATTCTTAGGGTTCCTGATGCAGTGTCATGATCATCATTCCTCATACAAGAGCCAACAGCATAATTAAGTCCACAATCCCAGCTAACTACTAGACAAATGGGGCTAGACTGAAAATATACCTGCTCTGCTTTGTTTCATAAGACAAGTGCTGAGCAAAGTACTTTAGAACATTTCCTGTCCATCCCTAACTTGGGGGCTGGCAGAAAACGGGAGCAATCCTAACACTTAGGAGACTAGTGCCATCTCCTGCCTGGTGGATACTTGTCCTCAACCTCAGAGGCAGCTGGGCAGCACATAAGCTACAAGTGAACAGTGAAGAAGGGACCACATAAGCCCATTAAAGAGGGGCAGGTAAAGACCTACAGGGAATGTTATGCCCACAGAACAAGTCTATAGATCTTTGTTTTTTCAAAATAGATACATATATAATTTTAGTAATGGGAAAACTGAAAGATATGTAAAAGGTAAACACGTTAAAATTTTTAGAAAAAAGTCTAAGAACTTAAAAACATCTTAAAGTATTAACTATAAAAATATTGATAAATTTGGTGGATATAAAATTTTTATCAAGAGACACTATGAAGGCAGTGAACCAACAAGGCACAAAATATTAGAAGGTAATTGCAACACATGTAACCAACAAAGGATTTTTATCCAGAATATATGGAGGATTCCTATGAATTCTAAATATCCATGGGAAGAGGGGCTAAATAAGAACAGAACAGATGCATTTAAACATGAAAGTTGTTCAACTTTATTATTAAGGAAACGCACATTATGTGCAGGAAAAAATGCCTTTTTACTTGCTGGATTAGCAAAAATACTGAAGTCTGACAATCTTTTAAGTGTTGGAGGGGCTGGGGATTTAGCTCAGCGGCACAGTGCCTTCCTGGCAAGTGCAAGGTCAATGAGTTCAATTCCTGGTACTGGAAAAAAACAAAAAAAAAGTGTTGGAAAGAATGTTGGTCAAATGGAATTCATATGCCACTTGAAGTTTGCATTCACTCTATAATTCAGCAGTTCTAAGTATACACTTCTGGGTTTTTTTTGTTTTGTCTTTTTGTACCGGGAATCGAACTCACACCGTTATGCTTGCCAGACAGGACAGGCACTGTACTGCTGAGCTACGTCCCCGGCTAAGTGTA